AGTCTCGTGGAGCATTAAATTTGAGATGTATTCAAATTTCTCTGGTTTTTTGCCCTCAAGGGGTACTTATCCGAGTATGAAATTGGTTCGTGGCCCAGTTTAAGAGCTTCAGTTCATATTGATATTGAATTTAATGTTGTGAGTTTGAAAATATATCCATTGTGAAGTATTACATCTTGAGCGGCTCAGATATCGAAGTAGATTTACTGTGTTTTAAAGTTTCAAACAAGGTTTTCAATTAGAAACTCAGAGGGAGTCTCAACCGCACACTCCCCATCAAGTGCATGAAAGTATTGCATATTCCTCAGACTTTCTATGAAATCACGCAAAAGATGGAAAACATAAATAACAGCTTAAACCACCATTGAGTGCCTCACGGAGAATAAATTCACCCGGGAGACGTTGAAAAGTAAATGTATGTGAAAGTGAAAAATGAAATTGGAAAATAGTAATTTTTCACTGGGCTGTCATCGTCTGTAATTTGTGATGGAGTGAATCGGAGGGGTGCACAGACTCTCTTCCGAAGCGCCCAACCTACTGAATTTCACATCGAATTCCGCCTTGGCATGAGCCAGAATGGCGAGCAAAAAAAATCACGAGTCAGTTCAATTTGTGGGGCGACACTTGGAAATTAACGTTTCACAGAGGGAGTCTAGTTTCTCAGTTCAGAATCTGCATTTGATTTTTCATATAGAGTGTTTCATTAAAACTCTTTTGTGCAGCTGAACTGGAGTTTTTAAAGACATTTGGAGTGAGAATGTTAAGTGCAGATGATTCCAATATATGGACGATTGTAGAGTTGAAATGAATGGTCATGACATCATTTATGGCTACCTTAAAATTTTATTCGACAACTGCAATTTCATGTCATTTTAACAGATCACGCAATTTTCTTTCTTTTCAAAAAGTTTTGAATGTCTCTTTCAAAGAGGGCCAAAAGTGTGCACTGTCCACAAAAGCTCATTTTTCTATGTTCACAAACACTCCTTCAATTACAATTGTTTTTCCATTCTTTTGCTTCTGACAGCACTTTATTTCGGCTTTGCCGAATGTTTTTCCTCTTCCTGAATTAAATACACAAGAAATGTTTAACAAAAGTACAATTTTAATAGAAAAAAAACCAGCTTTTTGCTCCTCAAAATAAGCACTCTGCTGAATTCTCTCTCACTCTCCATTGCCTCGAAGGTAGATTTATTTGTTGCAGATAATGGCAAAGAAAATATTTCTCTTTCATTTCTGTCCGCAATGGTGGAGAAAGAGACGGAAAGGTCAGAGAAATGGAAAAATGTGCCGAAGGGAAGGAATTTTTATTTGATCACAGGATTACGGGGATGAATTAAATTCACCATAAGGCCCGTACATTTTCCACATAATTTCTTTTATCACTGGCAAATCGCAATTCAGTGTTTATTGGTGTATTGTGCAAACACTCAGCCGACCCATTTGTTGAACGTGCATGCAGAGGGCAGATTTATTGGCGAGATTAAAGCACAAGTCACTTGCTTATGATTTACGAGGTCAAGATACATATAGTTTTAGTTTTGGGCTTTTATCGCCCAAATCAAATATATAGTGGCACAGAATGTTACCACCGCAATTTTTGGATATCGCCACACCGAAGCAAAATTTATGCCAACCATGAAGCAAGAAATGTCTCAATGGCGAAGTTTTCACTTAATTGTGGACTGCAGACAAGTTTTCTGCACAGAAATGTAACTTGAATTTTGAGCAAAAGTAAATTAATTACAGTAAAACGTTTCTTCATCGTCTTTCGTATTAATTACGAAGCGCACTTTGGAAATTATATAGGAACAGTGCTTACTAACATATCAAATGTCAATGCAATGAAAAATCCAGACAAATTTGTCACCCGAGCAAACATTGAGGCTGTGTGGAGAAAGGTCCTTGTGAGAAATGAGAGAATTTCCATTTGATGCGGAGAAAAAATGCCACCCTCCGCCAGAGAAGCCCGCAATTTATTGAGTCGACGATAAATTCAATGACAAATTGCATAACACAGGCAAACACAGATGGAAATTCCTTCAAAAGGGCCCCTTTTTCCTTCGGGAAAATTCTCTCGATATGAGGATCTCGAGGGTACGAAGCAGCCATTGAGATTGCTGACCACTTTGGGAATGCTTTCCGCAACTCCTTTTCAGCCAGGACGATTTTTTATCCGTCCTGGCCGAGGGGAAATGCCACGAGAATTCCATGGCAAAACAGAGTGAAAATTCAATGGAATTCCACATGTCAATCGAGCTTGAAGTTTTTCCTTTCGGCTGCCCTCAAACCTCTAAATCTCGGATGATAAGCAAAAGAATCCGTTGATCCGAGAATAAAAGGGAAAGAGTATGAGAGAATCGATAAATATTAATATACAGCTGTGCAAGGGTGAAAGCGAATGAAAGACACCACCTGGCTTGAGGAAGCTTTCACTATAAATTTATTGTCATCGCACGAGTGCATGTGGGTGAAATGTTTATCTGGCAAGAGAGTGCAGAAATGTTATAAACATTTGAAGCGAGAGTGTCAGAACGAATGGAATTGAGCAACATTCATTCATGTCACTTTATTCTTTGCCATGCGATGTTCACTCTCAATGTCATATTTGCAAAGAATGCAGGAAACCGTGCGCAGACGAAGACACGGACAGACATAAAGTTCTTATAAGAGTTAACTGGCACCAAATCTAAGTTTAAATCCGAAAGAATTCCTCAACGTCAAATGTATGCCCATTGAACAGCTGTGTGTCTGCGTTCCAACCCTAGAAAGTCTCCCTATTGTGCTCTTAATTCTGGTCTTAATCGGTAAGGAGGGGCAGAAAAGAACACGTGCGCCATTCCTGGTTATGGGGATCAATTAGGGAAAATGTCAGCTGGATGCTTGGGGCGCTCTCACTTGACGAATTGGACAAATCTGGAGTGTTGGAGGAAATCTTTGGGATTGCCGATTAGAATGAAACTTAACATGTTAATTGAATTTTTCGTTTATGTATGGCAAAATGCAAATTTAATCAAGTCGAGCCCCGCGAGCACGAACTGCTCGGATTTTCGTGACTTGGTCAACAGTGGGAGCTTATTTATGTGCTGTGTTGTAGCGGGCGTGTGTGGGGTCACGAGTGGGTTATCATTTGCATTTATGTAAATTCCCCGAGAAAGACGATATACAAGTGGATAATCCATTTAAAATAGATGTGGGGCATCATTAGGAGGCATCCCACGCCTCCTTTCCGTCCTGAAGGGATTCACACCACACTTCGCAGGAAAAAGCTCGAGGGTCTGAATTTTCTCCGAGGGTGGGAGAAACTGTCGCATTTATCTTGTCTATTTTCTGCGCATTTCCACCACCCTCAAATTCACGTTGCGGAGCGTCTTGCGAAAAATCAGAGAGCGAGATAGAGCAAAAAGAGGTTGCTGACCTACCTGAAAATCTCTTTGATAAGACACACACACATACACATGTGAATTGCGAGAAAGCTCCCAATTGTATATTGATGGCTACAGTAGCTTAAGAAATCGATATGGCATTTATTTCTTCAGTGAAGCGGAAATAGCATAGAGACGATACCCGTGGGGCTCAAAGGAGAGAAAGATGGTTAAAGTTACACTAAATTTTATTGGTATTTCCTCATAATAAAATTGATTCTTTCCGCTTCCCCCGCATTCCCAAATGTCTCTCTGGAGAACTCTTTGCCACTTTCTCGGGGCACCAAATCAATACGAATGGAATATGGATGCCGCACCACTTTCGCATCTCCCACCCGATATTAATATGCATGAATGTGCGAGTGTGGGAAGAGCCATGAAATTCGCAACAGTGATGTAAAAGTGTGTCATAAAATGAATTTTCACCCCATCTTCACACTCCACTGTATCACATTTCCATTGGAAGCCACATAATGGCAATTTCTTAGAGTGCATCCAATAAAATTGTTCCAATACATCAACTTCAAACATTTTTATTATTGTCACTCTCCAACATCACTGCCATTCATCTCATTCGCATAATAAATGCTCCGAGTGATGGCTTCTGAAGCAAGACGCACACTCTCAGTGCAATATCTGCATTACCAATGATTCCTCTACCTTCTCCATCTTGGTCATCACCTTAGAGACCATTTATCAATCTGAATGGAAACCTCGTGGACTAATTAATTGAATCATTCGGAGAGATTGATGAGATTTCAACGAAATCTTTCATTACGGGATGTTGATGAACAAAAGAGGGTGAAGGCTTTTGTGGTTCCACTAATAGCATTCATTTGTTCGGGTTCAATCAAATTTAATATTACAGCATCATGATCTTTAGAAAGACTATACTCTGCAATAAGAATGTGTATGTAATTATGGAATTTGACAAGATATCTTAACATGATAGCGAAGATAATAAAATAAAATTCACTTTCCTTCATCGTGATTTGTCACTGTTCTGTCTTAGAATATTCGTGTTAACATTGCTAGCGAAATTTAACTTGCCAAAATTAAATTGAATGCTAAACTAGATATCCAAGTTCACATGTTTCCTGTGTGATGAAACCAGAGTTCTTCCCACTTCATCTTGCTCGATGAATAAACGATGGGATAATAAATCGGAAAATTAAGTGTAGAGTAAGTCTCGTTTTCTAACTGTGTCGAATGTAGGTCACATGGCTAAAAGCTTTTGCATCCCCTCTAATGGTAATAACATGCAATTTTGATAATTTCCCTAATAACAATTTCATGAATTTTAATACACTCAATTTTGCAACATGGCTGTTTATTCACATTTTGCACGAAAAGGGGACGTGTTCTATTTATAATATTTTGGAAAAGGTTAGTACACAATGTGGAGCGTGAGAGGATTTCTCGTCATTGCCAGTGATTGGGAATGCGAAGAGAGATGAGAGAGCGCCTTCCTCTGCACTCCTTTACTCCTGTTCTCAATTAAAGTGTTGCATGGCGGCAAAAAGTGCCCCACTTGCCTGTGAAGCTCAGTCGATAAATCTGAAATGGTATTTGCAGGGTACTTCTGGCACATAACCGATCTGCACTTCGATCCGGCGTATTCGACAAGGGGTGACGTCCTCAGGAGTGAGTCCATTAGTCATGTTGGCGGAGCCAGATAAATAGCTCCTGCGAATGTGCCAGTTAATTTGCCACACTCACTTGCAGGTTGCTGGTACAGCGAGCACCACCAGGGATCGTCGAGGAGTGTGCCGGGTCGCTTCGGTGATTACAGCTGTGATAGTCCATGGAGTCTGCTGGAGTCGGCCACGCAGGCGATGCGCTCCCGCCAGGGCGACAATGTGGAATTTGTCCTATGGACAGGGTGAGTGTATATCGGCTAAGAGCACGAGAGAGAAAGCCCTGGGAGATTGATGTGTCTGCCTCCGACGTGGGGGTGGGCGTATTGTTGCGAGATACAAGATCTAATTAAGATATTATAAGCACTTACCATGTTGGGCGTGAGTTGAGAACTTGTGGTGTAAGTGGCAAGAATTTAGCATTAGCCCTGCGCCACCTCCAGCCGGATTCGCATGTACAAGTTTTAATTCAATCCCTGGGTGTCTAATTAAACAAACCACTCACTCAGAGACTCTTCCAATTTATCTCCACCGCGCGCGAGAACATCTGCAAAGTTCAAATGCGAAACTCACTATTTCTCCTCCTGCAGTGGGGTAATTGCAAAGAATACTGTGGAAAAATTGGCAGAAAATTGTATAAGCAGACGAATCATGTTTGAGCGCTTTTGTATTGCCGACAGAGTTGAGGGCAGCATAGATAGGAGTGAAGAACATTTCGCACTTAAATCTATTCTCGGGTGTCGTGTGGAAATTTACGAGAAAAAATGGCCTCAACTCTGCCTTCATATGTGATCCATCTCATGTCAATATAAAGAGAAGTTGAATGAAGTAATACTCAATTGAATTGGAGTTTTCGGGGCTGGAAGAAGAAAATTACATATGTGACACAGAGAGCGGGAAAAGAAAATCACTTGTGACATGGAATGAAATTAAAACTACATTTCCTCTCGTATAACAATGTATAAAATTCACGGTGCACACAATATTCTACTCCTTTTCTTCTTCCCCTCTGTGCTCGCACTATACTATATATTTTATTCTATATACAATCATAAAAAGTTTTTGCTCAAGCTCTTCTCAGAGCTGAGCAGAATTTTTGAGCAAAAATGGTTTTCAATGCGCGCTTTATACTTTCCATCGCTGTTTTGTAAATTTACAGCAGAATGGTGATATTGTACATTTGCTATGGGAACAATGCAAGTGGAGAACAATTACTTAAAAATTTTTGCTTGATGAAATACATAGAATATCTCACCAGGGGGTGAAAAAAGACCGATTAAATTCACTCTTTGTTGCCATTTTACTCTTACACCTATTATACAGAATCATTTTTTCCGCTCAACAATATCATTTTGCACCCCATCCAAAGGGAAGATGTTATTATATTCTATTGTATATTAATATTTAGAATCATTTATAATGCTGTAAAGGGATCTTTGTCAACGTACGTTTTGCCATTATCAGAAATGCTCACAATTGTATGTTCATTAATGATTCATTTGGCGATGTGAATCTCTGTGGCAGGATTAATTGGACGACACTCGATTCTGGAATTATGCCCCTCAAATCTGGCATACTCATGCAAGTGTGTGACAAATAATCTGCTTCACGGTCAATTTTGCAGTGTTCATTGTGCTCCTGGGAAGGATGAGGATTCCCTGATAGAGTGCATGCTCTTTTTCCTAGTCCATGAATTGTTGGGTGTCGCTTCACATGTCCGCACAGTTTTTTTTTATCAACTCACTCGACACCCCCTTCGGAGTTCAAACAATTGTTCGCAGTTAGTGAAATAATTTCCATTGATTGTAGCGAGCGAGAGTTGTCACATCCAAATTCAATTTAACAGCTCGGACTTTTCATCAAAATCCCCTCTATTGCCGTGTCGATTTTAGCCGTTTGATATTTAATCAGTCGCTCTCTACTAAATTGCTTCGCTGTACTTTACGAAGCCTTTCGGGAGAGCATGGAAAAGCGCCTGTTCAACAGGGAGATGTTCAGAGGCAGAACGACAAGAGTTTTTTATACTCTTCCTAGCAATGGAATTGAGTTAAAATGCACAAAATGAGTGAGAGAGAAAGAGAGATTGGGGAAAGGCATGTTGAAATGTTAGAAAAAGAGTTGGAGAAAAGTTTGTGTCCATGAAGGAGCTTTTTTCATGCTTAATTCCATTCCACTGAATCTAGCTCCTGACCCGCGCGCCACTCCAAAACTGTATTTAGTTGTTTAAAGTTTGATGCAACATTCATCCCTTGCTTTCGCCCACAGAATATCACTAACTTTCTGCCCCACACACACATGGCTTCACGCGATGCACACAATTTACTGGCATTCCAGCCTGAAAGTAGCCCATTTTCACGCCACTTTTACAGCTGACCCGAAGGATGGACGGAAGGGTGATTTCCGGAATTTTCAAAATTGCTCTACTAATTGAAGTTACGCGATTTTCTCTGCTGCAAAGTGCATGGGAATGAGACACTTCTCACTTATTTATTCTGGATGTATCCAGAGGATTTTCCGCTTTTTGACAAACACGGCAAAAAGTTAGTGTCATTTTCACGACGTGGAGTTGAAAGTGTTTTTCGGCACACTGAGAGAAATTGTCTTCTACTTTGACTGAAATTTTCAAAATGATATATGAATTTATTTTGAATACTTCTTTTATATCATGTTTCAGTAGACAACAAAATTCAAACAATGACTACAGAGTGCAGAGGAGGAAAAGAAGTGATTTATTCTCTGTGTGTCTGACATAATAAGAGAATTATTCATTTCACTTGGAGGTACTTGTGAGGAACTTTGTTGCTGAGTAGGAGAAACTACAAGTTGTAATGAGATGCTAACAAAATGTCTTAAATCTCAGGAATTTGTCAGTTTCTCATTTTCAACATGTTGTTCCCAATTGAAAGTCTCGTGCAATTCACAAGAGATACTTGATACACTTCTTCCACTCTTGCAATTAAATACACATGGGAGTTAATTGCTGTCATCTCATAAGATAAGAGACAAGAATTGCAATTATCATCTGCAAGCATAACAGTGAAAATTCATCATGTATTTATGTACAAGTTTTGCAGTCACTTCTAGACAAGTTTCCAATATGAGGAAAAGTTTATAAAGCTTCACGGCACGCTTGCTGTACACATAAAGTTTTTTCCGCGAAATTAGTAACTTTAATATATAAACAAGAATTTTAGTTCTTTATTCTGGTTTTAATAGCGGAACTTCGATGAGTGCAAAAAATATCTCAGGATACGAATTTTGCAAGGGGGAGTTTTCGTGGACCTTCCAGGAATTTCATCGAATAATTTGACTGAAATGCGATCGAGGAAGAGTTGGCCAACGCAGTTTAATTTTGACTTAATACACAACTTGGTTGAGAGTGCTTTTTGTGTCCTTCCTCGTCGTTCATGGCTTCTGATGTCAACTGATCCATATTAAAATCAGTGGATTCCATCAAATTTCCTTGTGAATCAGTCTGGAATGTCGATGAGGGTCTTTGTAGGTTGCATAACCGGTGAAAATAACGTTACAGAGATTCTTATCATAATGATCAAGAAATTGACTATGCATTTTGTGTCATGCAATTTCCAAACCTGAGAATTGTCCCCTGTCGTCCTGGAACATGCAATCGATTGTATCACACTCACCCTGAGAGATGATCCGACATTGGAAATATTGAGTCGTTGTACAAAAGTCTCCTAGACAAGTTTTCAAACAAAGCCAAAAGTTTGGCAAAGAGCACAGAAAATCATTACACTTTGATGGCTTCACCCATATAATAGTTCTCTCCCTGCGAGGCGACTTGGCATTTTCCTCACATTATACCACCCCACACTGTAAAGTTTTCTCTCTCTCTCTCTGCAGCAAATTTTCATTCTCCGGGGAAGGGAAAAAGTTCAAACTTTCATATCATTTTATGTTCAACTCTGCCAAAGTATCATTCACATTGGGTGGCTCTTTTTCACAACTGCTTCCACTGGCCAAAGTGGCTCATGTGGCTTGAAGGATGTCTCTTCTGATGAGCCAATACTGGTCTCTGCGCTGCTCTTGGCAATCGCTCAAAATTCATCACCAACAGATGGAGAAATTTATCGTCGCTCACTCATGTCCTTCAACCCATGCAGAAACTCTCATTGGCGATATTCGGCAATCGAAGGACCCTTGATCTCACCCGATCTGATAACTTTAGCCAATATTCATCTTTAAAGTCTTCCCTAGCTGGAATGGTAATTGAATATCGATCCTCCGGCTTTAATGGACAGAAAGTCTGACACTGCCTTGTGGAGAAATTACGACGCTTCCCAGAATCCGAGCGGCATTTTCATCACAAAACGAAAGCATCTCCCACGGCGAGAAATCCCTGGGCGGTGAGGAAAAAATGATGAAGTCGAAAGGCAAACAAAAAGTCTCGAAGTTACTTTGCGTGGTCTCTGAGGGAGATTTTTCTGAATATTTCATTACATGCGTTGCGAGGCAAAATCAGATCATTTATCTACGATTCCTCGAAAATTTCCTGCACAAACATCTTTCCTCACCCATATCGATTTTCCGGAAGGACCGCACTGAATTGAATTGAATGTGCGCCCATTCCTGGCGCTTGCTGTGGCGGTAAAACTCAATTGGGCCATTTAGCCGGGGAAAATAAAACAGAAATTAATTTAATAAAAGAAAATGGCACAAGATATTCCATCTAATGGAATAGTTACGGTGCCGTGGGTGGTTTGCCCAATAAAAATGGTGAGTGGCCACAGATTCATCTGCCCCAATCATGCACCATTCTTCATGTCGCCTCCACGGCTCCCCATTCATCGTAATCATCATATTAAATATTTTCTCAATGGAATACCAAGGACTACACATAAAATAATACACTCTGTACATAGAGTGAGCATAATGGTGGCCAATTTGCCTCTGCTGCCGCTGCTTAATGAGACACCATAATAATTTCGCTGAGGCACCGCATCCCCGAAATCTCCTGCCAGGGAGATTTTTCCGCCCTTGGATCCTTGAGCAAATACTACCCCTTGGAGGATACCACCGCTGGTGGTAGGGAAAGAGAGAGAGAGAGAGAGAGATGTGCCTGCGGGTATTAATGTTTTCGCTTGTTGGTTTTCGCAATCATTTTAGTTTTCCTCCCCGCCTTTCCACTTCATCGACCATCATTTCACTTTACACGTGTTTTCTTCCACCCCTCGAAAACCGAATGCTTTTGTCAATGCCAAAGTTACTCCCAACCAACCCTTTTCGTATGCCCAAATTCTCTGAATTCCATCGGAAAAGATTCTTCCCCGAGTGTTGCCTTCGAGAAATGCTAATAAAAACCAGAGAGGGAAACAAAAGCGTTTGGCAAATATTTCAATAGTAGAAGCAAAATAACTTCTCAAGACAGGTGCATTTTTAAGGTGATCAGTAAAAAGTGAGGAGCTCGGTCAATGGATTTGAACTGGAAAGAGATGGTTTTCCCATGCAAATTTGTGCCGAACGATGAATAGCTACGTGGCACCAAATGGCCACGGAATGCCTTTGATAACACTGATGGAGTATATTTAATGCAGAGAAGCAATAAATATTTCATCAAACTTGATTCATACGATATTGCAGTGCTTTTCCATATGCTCTCCATACAAAGCGTCCAGTGCTATTATTCCTCGTAATAATTGGATTTCCCATTGCAGTTTCATCTGAATGAATTTCATATGTAAATTGAAATATTGCGGGATTATACTGAGAAATGTAAATGAATGAAAAAAAATTGGTGTTTTCAAATTTGCATGCAATTTAATGAAGCATAAATAGAGAGAAAGACATTTCAACTTGGATTTTCTGTGCGAAATTTGGAAAATCAATGAACCGCATTGACGATTCTCTGACTCTCAAATTTCTAACTTGCAAATACAATGCTGGGGGCGAAAAGACCAAAATAGAGTCATTATTTCACACAATATTGGCGTTTTCTGCTCAATTGGAGGGTTCAGTGTGCGGATCAGTAGCACAGAAAGTGTACTCCTCCAATTGCCAGGAGATGCTATCAAATTCAGCGATACTTGAAATGCATGGCGAGATAGTGTGATTTGTCGGGAGGTTGGGCAAAAATCCTTGGAGGATTTGCAAATTTCACCACGATTTCTATTCAAATTGCAGCGATGGTTTGTCGCACTCGACGAGACGTTCCTTGGAATCACATCGTTTGGATCTCTTGCGCAACATTACAGAATTGCTGGGGCGTACATTTCCGTCTCAATTCGTGTTTCCGGTGCTTGGCCATGAGGACGGCCAGAGCGGAAATTTCCATCGTCTCGGAGAATTGTGGAGACATTGGTTGCCGCTGGAGGCACTCCAGACTTTCGAGAAAGGTAAGAAACACACTTTCCTTAGTCATTTGACATGTGACGCGAGGGAAGAAGTGGTGAAAGTTTCCTGCATTTTATCCACTTTTCCCTCCCACACACCCACAATTGCCATTCTTTGCCGTGATCCCCGAGGGATGGCAAGTGGCATCGTGTGAGACGGAGAGAGGCGAAACAGGAAAAGTTGATTGCATTAGTAATCTACTCTAATTATTTAATTTTCCGCCCTGAATATTTATGAAAAGTCTTCTTGGGAAATACTATTTAGGCATCCTTCGTTCTACGAAATGTTTGGGATTCCTTTTGATCTTCCGCAAGATTATGTAAAATACCTTATGTTCTAATAAATTGTATTAACATACCTCATTATGACCTATGTACATCTACCCAATTAAAGCCATGCTCTAGCTTAACTCTTGAGAGCATTTCTGCGAAATGTTTACCTGCAATATAAAGCTGGATAATAGCACCAGCCTTTGCGTACATAATTCACAATTTATTTAATTGATTCCTATCTCCGTGCATAATATTCTCAGAATAAAGGATGATTAATTGAGCTGAGAGATGGAGGAAAAAATAACACGGAAATATTACCGGAAAACCTCCTTTTACTCACAGTAAAAGCAGACGGAAATTTTTTACAGTGACTGCGAAGAAATTTATTGTGGTCATTAAAGTCGTTCTCCCTTGACCTCAATACCCAGATCGAGATGGAGAGTGAGCAAGAGAGAAAGCTAAGAATCATTGAGAAAATGCACACATAATTGTGTGGAAACGTAATAAACTCCCACCCCCTCGCGGGGTGGGATATTAAGAATAGCGCGTCTCCTTCCACTGTGCGGATGGTGAATAAAAAAGAGCCATTAAAGTAAATCTCATTTCATAGAAAAAAATTTATTGGGCATCCCATTTCTCATTATTTGAACCGTATAGAGTCAAGAGTGATTTATGACATTTCATTTTCACTCAAATTTTGTCATTTTGCCTATATAATCACAGCTGTATATATACACTGTCTTTGCTTGAGGAGCTTCAAAAGCTCGAAAATTAATCGTTTGACCTTCAGAGGGCAAGTTCAGCGACTCGTGAAATATCCTTATATCGTCAGTCATCTCGTCAAGCGACAGTCAAGTCCTCTTCGCGAATGAAAAGCTCCACAGCGGCTGCTTAATAGCAAAGGAGAAATTCACTTTGAACTTTAATTAATGTTTGTGAATTATTTTGATGTTGCTCTTTCCTCACTTACCAACAGTTCCTGGTGGCTTTATTCTGTCACTCAAACACACACATACACACTCTGAATCTCCAGAGGGATGAAAACGTCTGTTGATCAGCAATTTTGTCCCTCTTGCAGGCGGCTACTACACCATTGAGCAGACAAAGAGTCGCCTCAGGATAATCGTGCTCAACACCAATTTCATGCGACATGATCCCTTCAAGTTCACGCAGAGTCACTCGGCGGCCAGCAGACAGAGGCCGGGCAGCGGGGACTCATCAGAGCATACCAATTACTACTATCACCACGGGAATTACTACCACGGATCCAACAATGGCTACTACGCGGCCGTGCCGGCGACGGATGGCGGCCAGACCAGAGCACTTTCGGGAGCAGAGAGTCATGAATCACAGAGACAATGGGAGTGGCTGGAAGCGGTGCTGGCCAAATCCAACAGGAACAAAGAAACTGTAAGTCACAATCGCACATCGTGACAGAATTAGTCCAATATTGAGTCCATTTTGCTGACCCTTCAGAGGTGAATAATTGAGTTCTGTGTGTCGCCTAATTGAATAGCCCGAACCTAATTATCCCACTGCGAATTGAGCGGGATCACATAATTTGAAAATCCTCACTTCGCGAAATTTATATGTCTGTCGTTTGCTAGACGAGAAGCTAATGCCATTCTTCTCACGGTGCATTTATAGAATTGCAGGGAAATTGCACATTTCCACTCTATGAAAGAGGATTTGTGCTATTCACTAATGAAATTAACGTCATCAGGGGCGATTATGAATTGCGCGAAATACAATTGTCAGGGACGATTGAAATGGTTAAATGAGAACTTTGGAATGCTATATCGAATTGAAAATTCAACCAAAACAAAATTGGAAGTTGGCACTTCGTATTATGAGCAATTGGACTCATTCGTAGAATTATCAATTCATCACCACTAAAGTACATCACGCTAATTTGTTTTCCGAGTGACTTCTTACACAAAGTTTCTAGACTTTTGCAACATTGTTCACTTATTCCATTGATCACAAAGAACGTCTTGATGAGAAATACATTATCTTTTTATAATAGTGTGCAAGAATATTGCATTGCATGCTTCAGAAAGTAATTGGGAAAATCTCTGAAACCTTGTTAGGTGGTTTTCCATTTCAATTTGCGATTACTCCCATCTGATCCTATACAATTAAGCGAATCAAATAAATCTCACAAGAAATATCCTTATTTGCCATTTAATTGGATATTGATGCTCTCTCTCTCTCTCCCTGTGGACTCACAGGAGTGGAAATGTATTCGATTTGTGTGAGAATTTTCTTATTTCCTCCACCATGTTGCGAAGCATTTATAGATACTTCCGCCCTTTGAGGCCATTTCTTCTGCTTTTATGTGAAATTACTCTTTTATGGAAACACACTTCATGAACAATTATCCACTGATTTATTGCAGATTTCCACCACGCAATGGTGGAGGGAAAATCTGATGGGCGCACAAAGTACGCCTAATCTGTCGTAATCCAACGTCAGGTCAGTGTTTGGTGGGAGATTGCAGTTCAGTTCTCTCTCCTAAACCACCTATGGACATCATTATCGTGCGGAATTCTTCAATGGCATTCGATATGGGGGAGTTTTATCAAGTTCCTCCCATAAGCAAGCCCCTCAATTAATAATCCCCATGCCGTATGGGGAATTATATGACTGCAATTTGAGTGTGCTGGTTGTAGGATGGAATTCAACATTTAAGCATAACTCAGAGAACTGTGAACTATTTGAGTAGTGTTGTAATAGTATCCGGAAAATGAGGGACGAGGGACAAATTAATAATGGTCGGAATGAGATTCCAGTCTGCAAAGATCACATATTGGTGTGTGATTTATCCATAATTTTCATTGTGAATTGTTTGCACTGGGGGTCTGTAGGGATTTTCTCGCACTCATTTTCCATGTGGACACAAATGTGGAAATTTCACATCGTAAAATATGGTTATTTGCTCGAGTTTCGTACACTCTATGCTCCATAGCGCCCCCATTAATAATCTCTTTGGGGGGCTTCCTTGCAAATTGAGTGAGATATGGAGAAATTCTCTTCATGAATTTAATATTATACATGTACATACTTTAAATGCCAAACTATTTGCCTAATTTACGAGCTATTCACATTGCTTTTGACGCCAAACAACTTCTCCCTCGCATCGACATACTCTCCTCGGGTCTCGAAACTTGCTGAAAATTCTCTCAGCTTACATGGGAAATGCTCGAGGGGTTTTCTTCAATCCTATTGCGTCTTTTTATTGCCACGAACTCGTCCTAGAAACGACTTGCTCTATACAAAGTATTGATTTTTGGATTTAACCTTTGGGATTTTCTCGAAAAACGACTAAACGGATTTATTAAACTTTCTCATGTATTCCGTATTCAGATGCTGCTCCTCTGATATGCATGACAATGACCTTGAGTAACTCTCACTGCCGCTTAAGAGACATATTTGGGTTTATAAGGATGTAGGCACACGGCCAATTCGCCATGCGTTGGTTCCTTATTTTCCTTGATTTACTTTCCCTCTCGTTGTTTACTTTATCCAGAATTTGTGTATGCTTTGCAAGATCAACTCGAAACAATTTCCAAGACTCAATGAAATTAAATCAAAATTGCAAAGCTTTAATGGTGAATTCAATTTCATTAGACGCGCCAATTTATTTTATTGCTGACATCAATGCAAGTGCCAGCGGCTAATTTCTGCCTCAATCAGCAACCAGAGCTTTTTGCAAATTAATTGCTAATCAATTGACAAGGGGGTGAGAATGTGCAAATTTAAGTAAATAAAATATGATGGTTAGGACATAATGCGAGTGAATTAGTACAATTTTATTGCGTCATTAGCCTATTTAATTTTTCACCGCTTTCATCGTCATATGCATAATTAATGAGCTGTTTAGGTGATTTTTGCATAATTGGAAGAAAAATATTTGTTCCATTATCATACAGATTGGATTTTCCAAGGGATTTTCCCAGTGACCAAGGCAATTTCTGACTGTCTGTGTGAGAATTATTAGACAGAAAACATGATAGTATAAATAGAAAATATTGGCAAAGTTAGCTTGACAATAATGACATCGGAAAATGGGGGTGTTTTTCGGGGAGAATGGGTGAGTGGAAAAAAGTTAAACAAATGATTGGAAAAAGTGGAATTTATATCTCTTGGGAGAAACTTTGCTAGAGTTGCAAGAAGATGGAAATGGGAATTGACTGCAATACTCAGTGCTATATCAAACCCTATGCAACCAAGCACTTTTTGAAGGATTATTATGTTCTCTCGCCCATTTCGTGCTCGTCTCATGAGAAATGGCAGAAAAACGAGCTTTTCCTGGGCTGCTGCATTTCAAATGAAACCACCAAGTCTTTGGTGTAGTTCTGTTCTCAGCGGGAAGGTTAATCTCTTACACAACTTGCAATTTAATTCATTAAACAAATAAATTGAGAGTTGATAGAGAAAAACATTTTACTGGAAACTTTTATTTAGTCTCAAACTGGGTTGCATGATAGTTATACACTCAATCAGTCAAAACTCTTTCGCTGCAAAGAACTTTTTGAATTATATCAGACTTCTTTAGAGGACATTTGAAGGTATTCCTCTTCATGGGATGTGCTGAAACTTTCTCAAGGGTGGAAAATTGTCGACAGTTGTTGAAAATTAGCTAATGGGAGTCCCCATAAAAATTTCATATTCCCTCCATTGGGATTTTCACCCGAGAAGAAGCCGTCCAACAGAGGTGAATCTGGGGGTGTTGAGCGGATCTGACAGGAAATCACCATTGTTGAATGTTTTTTGCTGGTCGCGGAAGGCGCCCTGTGGAAGGAAGTGGAGCATCGATGGTGAAAAATACAAGAGTGTAAAGTTAGTGAGGTGAAGATGTGCGTTTTTCTTCTCGGCACACAGAAACTTTTCCCCCAATGCCACATGGGAGCTTCTGAGGCGAGTATAGAGCACACAAAACAATTTGATTTTCCGTCGCCACACTGAATAATCCGCACCTCCCGCAACATCACGATTCCCTTCCTTTTCACCCTCAGAAAGAATGGGACGCCTCTTAACTCGCAGCGATTTATTCAGCAGACAGCTTCGAATATCGATGAAATCGCTGGTGTAATTGTGTGATTCTTACAAGGCTTCGCAAGGGGGGTTTGAGGACACCCACCGAGGTTGAATGTGTTCCACTTGATGTATTCTATCAAATACCACCTCCCTCTGTGTATTTTATTCCGCTCTGTTTCTCTCAAATAATAAAAGAAATATGGTTCAGCGGGTGACTGACTTTTATACATATCGCAGCTGGGGTTGAAAAAAACTTGAGAATTTTGCCGCCATCCCGTGTGCGCGCCCCCCAAAAATCTCGATCCGCATCGACGCTGGGGTCGAAGGGGAAAACAAGTGAAATGAAAAAGTTGATGGTGCGCTTAAATGTGATTTATTCATCGGTTGGGGCCGTTTTGAGTTTTAGCCAGCAATTTAATTTTCCAGTGATGGGAAACAATTGAAACTTTTCGCAAAGGTGCTTCCGTGTGCCAATAAACACGCCATTCTCTCCCCACAAACCAATGTTCCCATATTCCATCCTTCCAGCCATTCCTAGTATTTCCGGTGTAGGTTTTTTAATAAGTTTCTCTCCGCGCGCTCTTGTCATGAAAAGTTTTGGTGGGAAAAGTCACACCGCTCTGGCGTACTTTTCTCATCCGGAAGAGAGTGAAAAGAAGTAACTTGAGAAGAGTGCTTCTACGAGTGGCCCATTGTTATGTATGTACGTAGGTAAATTTTGTATGCAGAAGCAAGGCAAGAGCTGCCCAAGAGAAATTGTACATCACATTTGAAAAGAATAGTGTGAATGAGCAACAAACTCGCAAGACATTTATCGATATTATTACAGGCAAAAATTATTTATTTTTCCATGATTTACTCCTCTTTCCAGTTCAAAATTTAAAGCCTCGCAGTGTAATTAATCTATTGTTGAAAAACGCTGTACTTGTTCTAATTACTCCCCCTTAACTTTGTACATTCTCTTGTAGAATTGTCAGTTTGAGAAATAAGTTTGCAGCGGAAACTTTAAGCAACTTCCACTTAATAATTCATACAAGTTCTCCCACCTTTGCAATAGGGGTGGAGGGAGGCTCTCTTAGGAGACAAAGTGACTCCGAAAGCGCTGAAATTCACACCATTAGGATCCTCATGCCACGGCATATGATAAAATCTCTACAATTGTGGGTGAGAGTGGGAGAATTCGGCGGAAATAGTTGTCGTTTGAATAAAATGGAAATGGCACATAATTTTCCTCGTTAGAGCCACGACACTGGGTCGTGAGTGGTGTGAGTTGTAAAAAAGGAGAAATCACGTCTCTCAGTTTCGTATATCTCTCATTTTTCCCTTCTTTTTTACCGTCACCCATTCTCTTAAACCAATTTCCATGAGCA